CTTGGCATGGAACCCAGGTCCTGTGGAAGAACAGCCAGTGCTCATAACTGCTAAGTCATCTCCCCAGCCTACTTCCAATTTTATTTTGTATAAAATATTTACTATTCTGTGTGTATAAGTGTTCTGCCTGTATGTATGCCTTTGTACTGTATGTGTACAGAAGTTAGAAGGAGTGCTGGATCACCTGGAACTGGAGTTACAGATGTTTGTTAGCCACAATGAGGTTTCTGGGACTTGTGTCTCAGTCCTCTGGAGTAGTAGCCATTGCTGTTAACTGTTGAGCCATTTCTCCAACCCCTCTATATTACTATCTTTTAATTATATATTCAAAATTGCCAATGTTAATAAATATACATTTAAGTTAATTTCTATAACATCAATTCCTCACCAGGTATGCCCTATGATTTTTGTCTATTAATAATAAAATTATTTTTTAAATGGAAAAAGATAATTTTCCTCCATTTTCTTCTAAACCCTACCTTACCATACATTTTCTTTGTTTTTAGATACATTTTTGTGCATGTAATTCAAAGGCTATATCTATAGTCCCTTTTCTTTTTGTCCAATGCTGAATCACTTTATATTTAATGCTAGGTCTAAATACCCTCCACCCAAATTCATGAGTTGAAACTTAATTGCCAATGTGATAGTATTGAGAAATGGCACTGCGAGCTGGAGAGATGGCTCAGCAGTTAGGAGGACTAGCTGCTCTTCGAGAAGACCGAGCTTCAATTCCCAGGACCTACTTACGGGAAATACACAAACACCTGTAACTCCAGTTCCCAGGGATCCAATGTCCTACTTTGGCTTCCATAGGTACTACAATATGGTACACATATACACATGCAGGCAAAACACCCATGCATATAAGATATATATTTTTAATTTTAAAAAAGCAGTGGGATTTTTGGAAGGTAATTAAATTATGAGATCAATACCGCTAGCAGGGCTTGAAGGCACATGCATACAAAAGCAGTGCATGTGCACAAGTACACACACATACACAAACATTTTATTTTGTATGCTAATCTAAAAATCATTTTTAAAAGGCCTTGAAGCAGTTCATTTTCTTCTGTGAGGACACATTATTCATCCTTTCACCCTCTTTCATCATTTCTGCCTGGCCAGACACCAAATACCAGTGTCTTGAGCTAGAAATCTCAGCCTTTAGAACAATAAGAAAAAAATTATTTCCTTTCTTCTTTGCTTCCTTCCTTTTGAAGTAGGATATCACACTGTATATAGGTTAGCAATCCTCCTGCCTCAGCCTCCAAAGTTCTAGAATTCGAACCTGAGTCATCATACTCAGCTTATAAATTTGTCTTATACATTATTTAGCAGCATAAGTACATATAACATTTTATGCATTTTCATTTGTGTACCTTAATACGTCTATCTGACTTTCTTTCAATGTTACTGAACAAATTTAGATGTTTATATTTGTTCTATTTGTTGAGAAAATTAAGCATTTCTGTTTTGTCCAGTCAGATTCAGTTTTGTCTTTTTAGTTGTGAGCTCTAGCCTTTAAAAGCCAAGACATCTCTCCAGCCCTGGTTATTTTTATAATGTGTATGAGTGTTTTGATTGCATGCATGTCTATGCACCAAATGTATACCTGGCTCCCACAGAGGCCAGAAGAGAGTATTGGTCTCCTGGCATTAGAGTTAAAAATTGCTGTGAGCCACCATGTGGGTTCCGGGGCCTGAACCTGAGTTCTTGCAAAAGATTGTGTAGAACAGGGCAGCAATAGAAATAGGTTACTTGGAAAAAATGCACTACTATATAAGTTTCAAGGAGTAAGTAGACTTCATTAGGCAGTTTTCTAAGATGAGGGGCCCCAGGTCATTTCAATAAGTGAAAGGACAAATAAAAAAGCACTATACTGTGAAATAACATGATTTTCACAAGACTCTGTAAAGATTTAATACTGTTGATTCCTAAGAGAGAAGAGGTAAGGGAAGTGAAAAGGGATGAAATCAAAGAAGTGAGAACATTAGTAATATAAAATAATGTCTCAACTTTGTCCAGCCAAGCAAAAGAAAGCTAGTGATGAGTGACAGCAATATGGAGGTTGAAGGGATGGACACACGAGGAAAATGAACAGTGGAACAGATGCCATAGCTCTGAAGAGACATGACAAGGAATTAAGCAATGAAAGTGAGGCTGGAAAGAGAGCAAACACAAAAGAAACCACCATAAAAGTCTGCTGAGTTTGTCTATTAACAAGAAAACTGATGGAGTTCATCCACTATTACCAGTGAATAACCACAGCTTCCAGTAGCAATATGGTTATAACTTACAAGCAAAGTGTTAAATAAGTGAACTAAGTATCAGAATTTTATCTAAAGAAAGTTCAAAACTTTCTAAGTAATCAAAAGTAAAGAATATTATTTATTCACAACGTGAAGTTAGTTGCATTATATAATTATTTACTTTTGCTAAGTAATTTTAAAACTGTAGGCAAACTTTAACATTAGCAAAGAATTCAAAGTTTTAAAATACAGTGTTTTTTTAATTCTGAGAATTTCATACATATTTCACCCCTTACTCCTCCCGAGTCCATCTTTGCTACCTACTTCCTGCCCACTTCCAACTTCATGTCCTCTTTTTTTTTTTCCAACAACCCAATGAGTCCAATTTGTGGCTGCTCATACATTTATGGTTATAGGACCATCTGCTGGAGCGTGGAGGGGCCATAGCCTCAAAGAAAACTGACCCTTCTTACCACTGAGGTCTTCAACTTGTCTGTAGCTCCTCAGCTAGGAAGGGCTCCTAAAGCCCTTCCCCAATGCTGGACTGTGATTGTCTTCATCTTGTACAGATCCTGTAAGGACTGTGAATTCATGTACAAAATGGGCCTGTTATATCCAATCGATGGTTCTTACAATCCTTCCGTCTCCTCTTTTTTCATGGTTCCTAAGCCTTGTGGGGGAGGGATGTGATATAGTTGTCGTATTTGTGTCTGAGCACTCCACACCCAATTCTGCATTTTTTAACCAGGTATGAGTTTCTGCATTAATATCTAGTCACTTAGGGCAGAAACAAACTTTAATGTTTGAGAGCCACACAGGACTTTGGAGGACAGTTTGCTATTACATCCACTTTGCAAAAATACTAATAAGTTCACCCCCTGGGGCCTATGAACTCCTCAGCCATGGGTACTTGGGGAGATTTAGAATACTGGGCATGTGTTTCTCTTTTAAAGAGATTTGTTTGTTTGTTTGTTTTCTGAGGCATGGTTTCTCTTCTAACTGTCCTGGAACTTACTTTGTAGACTAGGCTGGCCTTGAACTCATAGAGATCCACCTGCCTCTGCCTCCCAAGTGCTGGGATAAAAGGCATGCACCACCACTGCCTGGCTTTAAAAGAGATTTTTAATGTATGGACTCTTACAGAGTTGATGAACAATTGGTGAGACTATCTAATAGAATATAAGTTGTAATTTACTTGAAAGAGTATAATACCAAAGATGAAATTGTTTCTTTTAAACTTCATTTTGGAGTCTGGAGAGAAAGCTCAGCTGTTAAGAACACTTACTGCTCTTGCAGAAGACTTGGATTTGGTTCCCAGCACCCTTGCTGCAGGTCACAACAATCTGTTTCAGTTTCAGGGGATTTGACACCTCTTCTGATCTCCTGGAGATCAGAAGCATGAATTATGGTTACTCACATACACTAAATCACACTCAGATACACATAAAATTAAATAAATATTTTTTAAATTAAAAAATACATCACTGGTGGTGCATACCTGTAATTCCAGCATTCAAGGATGCTGAGGCAGGTGGATCTCTGTGAATTTAAGACCGGCCTGGTCTACAAATCGAGTCCAGAACAGCCAAAGCTACACAGAGAAACCCTATCTCAAAAAAGCAAAAACAAAAACAAACAAACAAAATTATTGCTGGAAAACAGTTTGGAATCTTTCTAATTTACTTTAGGTATGATAATAAGCATTATGTGAAGTCCAAAGCAAATTTTGTGTTAAAAAATGAAAAAAATTAAATTTAGTTACTTGTTCTATCTTTAAATTAATTTCTTTAAAAATAATTATACTTGTACTTACTTTAAATACTGATATGTCTGTGTATGTGATCATTTTTCAAAATCTTTAATATTTAATTCTTGGGTTCAACAAACTAAAAAGTATACCTGGGGAATTCTAAAGTACAAGTATTATGCTGCCTCGCAGGCCAGCCAAATAGATTACTTCCATTAAACACATAATTATATTTAATTTTCAAAGTAAAACTCTTATCTTGTTTAGTAATACCTGGTTTTAAATGTATTTTTGGTTATAAAAAATAACTCTTTAGGCATAAATCTGTGACAATTAGTATGTTTTAAAGGAAGGGAACTAAACATAAAATATTGGAGTTCTGAGGGGTTTGGTTTCACTGAAAGTGATGAGAACTAAAAGATCAGTAATATTTCAGTTCTTCCACGGAGTTCCAGATTTACTATAATTTAGAGGGTGGTTTAAGGGGCCCTGAAGGTTTAAGTACCAGATTTTGCTTATTCCAATTTCTGTATTAAAGTTTATAAAACAGGCAGAAATGTTTTTTTAGAGCTATTTCGGAGGTCGGATCAAGCGAGATCCTGGCATTAAAAAAGGTGGTGTTAGATTAGCGCTTCAGTCCCCACCGTATAAGGACGTTTGCTTTTACATCCCGCGCTTTTTGCCCTTTGCCCTTGGCCATCTTTTCTTCCTCTCAGGGAGGAGGTCCATGCTGCAGAGCCACGGGGAAGGGGGAGGCCTCCTGCTGGTGCATGGCTTTCCCATTGGCGGACTCTGCAAGCTAGACCGAGGCCCGAGCTGCAAAAGAGGAAGCGAAGGAGGAGAGGCGGAGCTAGACAGGAGGCGGTGCTAAAAAAGCCTAACGGAATCCAGACGCCAGTGCAATTGTGCGCGCCAGGCTGCGACGGCGGTGGTGTCGCTGAGAGCTGTAGCTCAGCTGGTGAAGTCTTCCCCTCGGGAAGCTCGCTAATCTGTCGCCTCCGCCGCCGCCCACGCGGCGGTAGCGGCAGGCGGCCTTGCTGGTGCCTCCCTCCTCTGCCACCTCCACCCCTGCCTGCTCACTTGCCGGTGCCGTGGAGAAGGCGGCGGCAGCTTTGGCGGCTCCACTATGGCGGCGGCGGGGAGGGGGGACAGTAGTTTTAAAGTAGACACCTGCCCTTGCCTCAGAGAAGGTGAGTTCCCGTCCCGGGACGCGATGGCGGCCTGTTCGCCTTCGCCGCCTGACTGCAGCTAGCCGGAAACCCCGGCTGGGCGCGGTTCGACACCGCCCCACCCCCCACCTGCTGTGGCGCAGTAAAGGCCAAGCTTGCCCCGCCCCGTCCCGCCCCGCTCTACCGGGCTTGGTCCGTCCCACCCCACCCCACCCTCCCCCACCCCACCCTCCATCATTATGCCCTAGAGTGCCAGAAGGACTGAAGTTGTGAAGGGCATCCGTAACCTCCCTTCCCCAAAGGCCCCCAGGCAAAGGAATGGCAGATACTCTTGAGGCTGGACTTTCAAGGGAAAAAAAATAAACATAATTTTTTTGTCTTAGTTAGAGATGCTTTAGTGTGAAGTAGGACACCGAGGTGCGATTTGGGAAGAGGAGGCAGAGGAGAAGTGCTGTAGATCTAGATGGCCAGGGTAAAGGAAAGGGAAAGCAAAGAGAGACTATCAGAAATTGTAAAAGGACCCCCCCCCCGTGAAATTCAAATTCAACGTATTGCAGGATAGAAACTCAGGGAAGAAACTCGGGCAGGGAGATATTAACAGAGATGGAGTTAGCAACGTGGGGAGGTTAGTATGTGTACTTGAGCTTTAGAGGCGGAGAATTTGCCAGATAATAGGGTCATAGGTTCCCCTGGAGCAGTGAGGACTGTACTAAAGAGAAACAGTGTTTGGCAGGAGCACAGATTTCAGAAATCATTTGGAGAATTTCCTTCAGTATTTGAGGTTATGACCTAGTAAAACACTGTTTAAGGGACCATCTTTAACATTTCTTTGGGTTCAGCTAAGTGCTGTTGTACCTGCCAACACTTACTATGCCAAACATGGAGAGATGTGTTTGAATATAGCTACCTTAACACAGACTATCATATCTCTGTAAACAGCCTACTATTAGATTGTGAAGTATGCCATTGCAATGTGTTTTAAAGCAGTTTTGGAGATGTTCTTAAATGGTTAAGACTGATTCTGCTGCAGAAGCTCTCAGATTTAATAATTACTGTAAAGTACTTGCTGGATTACCTTATCTTGCTCATCCAAAGTGAAAGACTGTGAATGTAAAAATAGAAGAAGCAATTTTAAGTTTCTTTCTTTGATAAAGACACTCATTAAAACTAACTCATTAAAATTAACCACATGAAATAATATCTTCACATTCATAAATTATATACCCTTGTGGGCAATTTCATAATATTTCGCACCTTTCACTTTGGTGGGATGGCAAAAACGATAAAAAAATCCCCCATAATATTTGTAATAGGTACATTATATTAATACCACCTACTAAATAGAGAAATTGGGAATCCACTGTGATATGGTGGTGATTTATCAACAATCTTACTGAAGACAATTTTTGAAAGGCTTCAATCAGCCATGAATTATACCATTGTTTGGAAACTCCTGTGCTTTTACATTTTCAAGGGGATTTTGTGATTGCTTTTTCCTTTTTTGTTTGTTCTGTTTTGAGACATGGTCCCATGTAGTTCACACTCGCCTCAAACTCACTGTGTAGCAGTGGACTGATCCTTCTGTCTACACCTCCTGAATCTGGGATTACATGTTTGTGCCACCATGCCTGGCTTTAACTTGTTTAACAAGCTTTGTCTATAACCAGCAAATAGGTGGGAGTGTTTTTGTAGGCATCACACAGTTGGCCCTGGTGATCTGTTCATGGTAAGGTTTAGAAAGAATATTTCATAGAAAAACGGCTTTTTGCCTCACTGTGTAACTGCTTTGGTTACAGTGTCTTTGAATATATGCAAATAATAAAAGCATTATAAGAGAATTTCAGGGGCCTGCAAGATGGCACAGTAGGAAAAAGAACCTGTAACACACTTCAGGACCTGAGGTTATTTCCTGGAATCCACATAAAAGGAGAGAACTAACTCCTACAATTTGTCTTCTGACCTACATACACACACATACACACACACACACACACACACACACACACACACACACGCACATACATACACTGTGGCACTTGTGTACTCACACAAAGTGAATAAATGTAAAAAATAAATTAATGAAGTCAAAACAATATCTGGAGTCTGGTACAGTTGATACAGATTATGTGCTCATAAAACCGCTAGACTTTGTGATCCTGAATTGGTCCCAGATTTCCTTGATTTGGGCTTCCATTACTGAAATAAGGGACTTGGAGAAAACAAAGTCTGAGATTAATTTCTGATCTGAAAATATGAATGATGATTTTAGAGATTACGTTATTTCTTTTAGTAGAATTTGGTGGCTGCATATAAAAACAATTCATAAATCATAAGAAACCTTGACTATAGTTACCACTTGACACTCACTGAATAAGGAAATCTATGTTGAAATACTGTTGAGAAAGTTTACTAAGATATGAAAAAAGCAAATGAAATTGTTATCTTAAATTACCTGTTGTTTGATTTTAGTTTCAGTATCCTTCATTAACTCTGAAGTCCAAACTAAAACCCCCTTACATTTTCACTTTAAAATGGTAAATATTTAACACATTGAAATATCTTCAAAACACTATTAGGCTTCAGAATTTTGTTTAGATATTTATAAAACACCATTTTTCTAGCTGTACTGTACAAAAGAAAAGGAAAAATATTTCTTAGTTGTGTGCCAATATCTGTTTTTCTAAATCTTGGTATGTCTCTGAAATATGTCACAGTGTTACCAGGATCACAATTATTATCATGATCACTCCTGATAATTATTATAGATCATGTTCACTATATATGTGTGTGCGTGTGTGTGTGTGTGTGTGTGTGTGTGTGTGTATATATATCACAGTATTATCACAATCACTCCTGTTAAGATCATGAAAAGTGGTTTGAAAAGCATTTGCTGGCCCATTTACAGTTTGTAGCCAACACTCACAATGACCTTTTTCTCCCTTAGAGTTGGTAATAGCAAATGGCAAGAGACATAAAAATTGTCATACAGGGAATGTTCAAAATTTATCAAAAAATTCTACTGAGATATTGAATAAAACAACTTAAAACAAGCAAAAGAAATGCTAAGAAAATAATTTGCAAACACACACTCACACACACACACACACAGACAAAGAGAGAGAATTTATGGATAAAGGGAGTCAGACAACATTTTAGAACTCTTCATATTTCATTTAGTGAAGTTTTTCAAATAATAACAAAATGAATTGTGATCCACTAGTGATGCTAAATGTATTTGTAGTTTCATTAACTCTCCTTGCATGTTTGGTTTTCCCTTAAAAAAAATCCAAGTTTGTATTTTAGATTGAAAAACATTGTGGATTTCAATTTCATTGTTAAATGGTTCCAATAGCAGTCACCTTCTCATAGCAATTACAAAAGGCTTTCCTTTGTCTCCCTGCTGTTTGGTAAAACTTTGGGTCACTTGTCACTAAGTTCTCAATCAGAAAACCTAGTTAAATCTTTCCTAAATTTACTAAGTAATCAATGAGTGCTAGTGTGTATGTGAACCATACTGGTTAGTACTAAGAACTTACAGTTCAACTTAGAAACATTTGTAATGGACCTGGACATATGACTCACTCAGTGGTTAAGGTAGTCTACTATTTTTCCAGAGGATCAAAGTTCTGTTCCCAGCAATCACATCAGGAGGCTCACAACTGCCTGTAACTCCAATTCTAGAGGATCTGATGCCCCCTAATGCATACATATGGCATACATTTATGCAACACACACAGATACACATAAATAAAAATATCAAAAGAAATAGCCATAAAAAGAGCTCAGTAGCAGTTTGTGGACAAAAAAGTGTTTGGTAAGTGTTTGCTTCAAAAGCATAAGAATCTGAGTTCCATCCCTCAGAATCCATCTGAAAACATGCATTGTGGTACACACTTGTGATCCCAGATTAGAGAGGCGAATGCAGGAGGACCACTGAGGCACAGCAGCCAGCCAGTGTAGCCTAATAGGTGAGCTCCAGGCCAATGAAAGACCATGTCTCAAAGGATGTGGATAGCATTCCTGAGGAACACGCCAAAGGTAGTTGTATCCTCCCCCCCCCATCCCTACCCCACACGCCAGTGTACACACAGATGCGTAATAAAAAAAGAAAAGAAAAATAAGCTCAGGTGTGCTTGATAGTAAGATTATAACATAAATCAGCAAGTAGAGCAAGTAGGGCAAGTATAGTTTTAAATATAACTGGTCACACCCCTGAGCTATGAGTACCATTCGAGTGTTTCTTATAAAACTGCTTCTGTGGTATACCAAATGTGCACACCAAAGCATATTATATTGTGAGTCTAATATTGGTGTCTGTCAAAAATAATTAGTAAACAGGATTAAATTTCTGTTTCCAACATTTGGTAGATTGGAGGTGTCTAGAGATGAGTGTCCACTTATTAGTGTCTGTCCCCCCTGAATTACATCAGTATGTAAAAATAATCACTAATCATATTCTTAGCCTATTAGTCCAACTTGAGGAAGTTTCCTTCTATACATTACATATATGCTAGGATAGAACTTTGTTTTCCATGTGAAACAACCTTGTACATTTTTTTCACATGCATTAAACTGTTGACGTGAGTAGCATATATTTAGTCGCTATCTTATATAAAGCAGCTGACATGGAATCAAGGAAATTAAGATTACTCAGGACATTAGCTATATTTCTGGTTTCATAAGCATGACTCCTGAGCTCCCTAGCCAAAAAGGCTTATCGTTACAAAGGTCAAATACTCTGTGTGCAGAAAAACAGAACAAATATCCATCATAAGCATAGTATTCGCAATAATTTTAATTCTGTTTTATTTTGTTATTGTTGAGGTGCCATGGAAAACTCTGCACTGATTGTGATGACCTGTGTAAAAGTACAAGAACTTCTCAAACTCATAAGGCAGAAGCTATTTTAATAACCTAAAACTAAGGATGCAAAATCACACTGTAGTTATGAGCATTTCTCATATAGACAGGTATATATTCACATTTCTAGTAAAGATGATATTTCTGAGGACTCTTTAAAT